GCCCAGCCAACAAGAGGGTGCAGGATGTGGGCATGGCAGTGCTGGGAGTGGGGGCTATGCCCTGCTGCTGCTTGCCTCCTTCAGCCAAGAGCGAGTCATGCTCATGTCCCACCCCAGCTGGGCAAGTGGCAGCAGGGTAGAGGCCCCTGCTCTGAGCAAAGCTGCACCTGCATCCCACACCTCCCCCACCCCTGTCCTGGCTGGGCAGCTTGTCCCAGCCCCAGGCCCATCCCCAATCTCTCCCTCCCCCACCCCCAACAGACTTATCAGCTGTGTCAGCTGCCTGTTTAGTCTATGGCCAAATCTCTAAAGCAGTGTCAAATCTTTTGGATCTGATTTGGCCAAATTGAATTGGGACAGTGACTCGAATCTCCGAATCAAATCACTGTACTCCAAATAGGCCAAATTCAAAGCGAATACTTGCTGCTTCACACAGGCCTACTATTTATACTCATTCCCAAATATCTAAAGATCTGAGTACCCCGGATGCCTAGCATGTAACCGCTGCAAAATTTTAACATTCTGCCTATAGTAACTTTAAGATCCTGCAGTTTTCGTATTTTGGACAAAACAAGATGAACGCATAAGTGGCATGTGTAGTACACAGCCTCAAGGTATCTCTTGCAAGAAATAGGGATGCCCATTTCTGTTACCATCTTTCAAAAAAGTGCCAAGTGATGAAACAAAATGCACTGCATCAAATAGTACAGATAAGCCTTTAGGCAGGGGTGCCAAAGAAATGGCCTGTGGCACTGTACAATCCAGACCAGGATGCTGCCCACTGATCTTGGTGTGGCCCACAGGCAGAATTCACGGTTTGCTGGATGGCCCTGGAGATAATTTATTATATATGGCCACTATGAAGTGGCTAAGGCAATGAAGTTTAGACTCTTGCAGTTTATTCTTCATTACAGCAGGCCTGTTTTGATACCTGCAAAAAACAACTATCCACACTATATTTTGAACAAATGGTGAATGACTATGAAGGAAACTTAGATATAAAGTTTTTGTTAACTCACTCAGTGTGACAAAAGATACTATTTCTGTGTGAGAGCTCAATTTCTCTACAAACACAAGACAAGCTTTAGATCCACTGTACACACCCCAAATCTTAAATTACTGGTAGATAGGCAAAAGGACACAGGTTGCAAGTTGAACACCTAGACAATGCACTTGATCAGTGCCCTAACCCAATAAACCCATTCATAACTAATTAGTGCTACACTACAGCATCAGGCTCTGCAGATTAATGAAACGTCACTAAGATTTTAAGGTTAACATTTGGTTTTATACAGTCTTCACTCGATCTTGTGATGTCCTTGAAGACCGTCTATAGGAAACTCTGGTATTGAATACTACCCTAAAAGGAAAGTCATTTTTAATATTGCATTCTTTGCAAGCCATCAGCACCCTTACCTAGAAAATCCAGAATGCCAACCTGCAGGATTTCCTGTTTTGGCATTGCATGTGCTTGTTCCTAATGCTGTTTACCCAATGCATTATTTTATACTAGATGGAGGACTATGAGTAGTATCAAAACAAACACAGATTGTGGAAATAAACTTACTGGAAGTCCAAATAGATTCATAGATGTTAGGGTCGGAAGGGACCTCAGTAGGTTATCGAGTCTGACCCCCTGCCCTGGACAGGAAAGAGCACTGGGATCAGACAACCCCAGCTAGGTGCTTGTCCAAATGCCTGGCAGATAGCTGTTTGCTCCTCAAATACTCATATAAATAACTCAAGAGCAAACTACTATCACAACCTCGGGCCTGGCTCAATAAATCAGAACTTATTTTGAACACAAGGAAGGATTTTCTCACTTGCCCTCTAATCCCCAAATGGTCCAGTTTCCTAGAGTGGAATCCTTACATTTTCCCTCCTGCTTTAATTTGGAGCTAACCTGTGAAGTGGGGGGAGACTCCTTTGTGCCTTTCAGAATCTAAGTCACTTTCTCTGACAGGTTAAGGACCTGTGATTGATGATCAAAAAGCAATTTCAATCCCCCTAGTGCCTGAAATCTCAACCACTTTCTTAAACAGCAAAGGTTCCTGGGCTGAAAGCCAAGCAAGCAAAATTCCCACTAGACTACAACCTGAAGAAGGGCTTCACAACAGTAACGCAGGCTTCTCTGCAGGCCCAGATATGATGCATTAAACTTGATACAGAGCACCAGCAAAAGATCACCCCCTAAGATGAAAACTCTCAAAGGCTGCTTTAGTGGGAAAATGCAAAAGGAGAGGAGTTTAAACCCACAATTTATCTCCACTCATTCTTTAATAATAGCTGCAGTACAAAGATGATGCCTTTTTGGGACCTTGAGTCTGGAAGAATTGCTTCTATAAGAATTTATCAACTTAAGAAAAAAGAGAGCTGTGTGCAGAGCTGTAACTGGTCAGGACTGGGCCCTGGGGTAGTCAATCCCTCTCCACTGTAACCATACCTTCCCAGAAGATCTCTGGCTCCCAAGGCTTCAACATAGAAGCAGCAACTGGTGGTTTGCTGATGAGGGGAAATATCAGTGGCAAAAAGTGAGGTGACGTTCATGTCAAGGGGCCAAAAAAATCTCGAGTTTTGGCAGCAAAAAATGGTGACATCTCCTTCCAGTAGCAGAAACTACATTTCCCAGAAAGCTCTTTACTCACTCATTCACACATGCTCCTGCACTGTTGCTGGAGCTGGAAAGTGCAGAATGGTGGCAGGTTCCATTCTGGTACTGCTCTCTCCCCACTTAGGTAGTGCCCAGGCCTCATGCCATGCTCACCCACCTATCCTTGTGGTAAGGTGAGAGACCTTCTTTCCAAAGGAGAGGAAAACTTACTTTGGTATCTGAGAGAAATTTGGATCTTTTCAGTGATGTCTTTCTTTTCTCCCCACCATTCCAGCCCACGTTGTTGTGGAATTTACTCTAAACTGGCCAGATAGAGCTGTCCTCACTCTTAGATTCTTTCCCTGAAATACTCAGAAGCTCCTGAGTGGAAGTCAGAACTTATTCAAGATTTTAAAAAAAGGTCCAACATAATCAGCCCAAAATTGCCTGGCAGTGCTAGGGGTTGGCTGACTCTGAACATTCATGATTCACCTGGACATTCTGTTACTTTTCAGGAAAATAAATTAAGATTTAGACTTATGGTTGGGGGAGAGCTCTGCCATGTCTGAGGGTAACAGGAAGCGTCTCAGAGGGAAGGCACTAAACAGCAAATCTGAGAGTCTGGAATGAACCATTGCACAACCAAGTACTTAAAGAGGATGGAGTTTCATATAAATCACTACTAAATCTAAAATTAAAAAGCAAAATTATCAGAAACTGAACTACCAATTTATTCCACTACTGGATGGCCTGAGCTGAAGGACAGCATAGAACTAGAGCCTCCAGATTCTATACATTAGAAGCATCATTAACCTACAGACAAAAAACAGTGCAAAAGAAATGATTATATGATTAAATCTTGAAGTCACCATTTCCAAAAGGACAAATCTTCAAATCGAGCAATTCTGAGAGCAGCAGAACTGACATAATTTTGCTGCATTGGAAAGAAAGCCAGAAAGTGTACATAGGCCTCCACGTGCCCTACAAGCTCAAGCACAACTTAGAGCATTTACGGACAGAGACAGAATGTTTTAAAGCACGATCACAGTTTATCTGCAGCTACATGAACCTACTAGCTTAAAACACCTATACATGGATGGGACAGCAAGACATATTTTCCACTTAGGGTTAGAAAGGAGAATATTCAGTCTGTTTAGCATGTGCATTGAGACCAAAATTTTGTTCAAATTGATTAATAACATCATTTAAAAATAACAAATCTATTGAAAGAACAAAGAAACAGATTGGGTCAAAAAAGAATGCTTTCCTTTTTTTAGTGCACTTTTTTTATTTAAATATTTTTTAAGTGTTGACTAGATTTGGTATCACTATTGCAAATCAAAATGTATCAAATTCTAGGTACCAGAAGTAGTAACAGGATTAATATCCAGGGCATTTTTTCTTATGGAGAGCTCTCCTTCCCAAAACCAAGCTCTCTACCCTCAGACAAGGGAAGCGTGGCTATAGCTCCTTCCAAAGAAAGTTGGTCAGAGGAACGAATGGGTCTCTGAAGACGTGAATACTGGGAGATGGGAGCCATAATTTAAAGCCAAATCCTGAGCTGGTTTAAAATGGTCTCTCTATCCCTCAATTTAAGAGTTTATATGCTGACTGACCTCTGAAGATCTGATGCACACTCTTTAATACTGATGTCCCACAGAGCTCTGAAATGAAACTGCACACACAGATTCAAACGTCAGAAATACAATGCTCCAAGTTGCTGAGTTGACCTGATTTTCCCTTATTTTATATCATTCCCATCTATCTGTATGTATGTGCATTTGGCTTTTCAACTTCAAAACAATGAACTGAAAACAGGAAGAGCTGAGTTTGTGGAAATAAGGGGGCTTTACAAATTGGGGACCACAAAGATCACGGTAGATTAGAAAAGTACTGATTTCTCAATGCTTTTTATACAAAATATGCTTACAATTTGAGGCACGTGTGTGCGCAATCTTAGGATAAGATAATAAAAACACAGAAGACAAATGTATAGGTATCCACAAAGCATATACAGCAGTTAACACCATACACTGCCTGTATGAACTGTAACCAATGTTAAATCTTGCATAATCATTAACTTATCCAAATATTTATAAATCAACTACATACCGTGAAGCTTCTTTAATAACATTCTGTAAAAATATTAGTCGTGTTTGTAAGTTGCCTTGTACATGCTTGAGTAAAAAAAAGATCCTTTCATATTCTGAAAAAAAGCAAAAATAAAATATTCAGGTGATGCCTACACATCAGGTGCAAGATGCTGCTTCATTCAGCTGAAGAAATACTGCTTGTACTAAGAAAGATAACAAAATAATATCTAATTGTTACTTATTGTATTTAATATAAATATCAATATGTACACAGCATTTTAGGATTCTACTTAAAGAGGAAGGTGCAAAATCTGACACTTATGCAGAAAGAGGATGGATGTTGTCAGCACAGATAAATGTATTTCTATTTCAACAATCTACCCACCCAGTAAATTCCTGAGGGAGATTTTATAACTGAAATAGTTCTGGCCCAAGATTTAAGCCACAATTAGTTCCTATTATTTCAGCTTCTTCCATTAGGCAAATATTGTTTCATATTATAATTCTGGCATGATTTAGCACCTTATTAATACAGTGTTCTAGTCTAAGTCTTTCATATCAATTGATTTTTCCATCCTGCTAATTGGACACAAAGACAGTTTGGGGTTCTAATACTTACTTCTTCCTGGCTTTCGAATCTCCTTCATAATTTGTGCTTTAAGCTCTATGTTAACCTCTCTAGGGCTCCTGCAGTGCACTGTTTTTTTCCCTTTGTTGGGGGAGGATGTTGTCAAGTTTGTATCAGTACTTAGTTCTTTGCCCCCTGGCTCCTCATGATTTGCCATAAATTCATTCATAGTCACATTATTATTTGCTAAATGTTCATGGCCTAGATCCTCTGCTGGCTGGTCCAACGAACTGAATGGAGGGGACACTGAAAATTCAGAATCCATAGCATTTGGAAAAACATCAGATGAAAGTGGGTCTGCAACATGATTCTCAATCACATCATCCATAGCAATCTCATTATTGTTTTCTGATGCTGAAAAAAAAAAAGACCAGAAAAATAAGAGAAAACTTAAAAGAATGTTTTAAAACACCTCATTAACATGTGACCAGCACTGGGTAATCTACTCTTATACAATCATGCTCCATCAGCTAGGACAGGGGTTTTCAACCTTTTTTTTAACAAGTGTACCCCCGGCAGCCGGACAGAACAAGAGGGATGGCACGTGGCCGGATGCGGAGTAGGGTGGTGGACGGCAGCGGTAATTGCTGCCGCATGCAAGCTCCCCCCCTCCCAGCATCCGACTGGTTGGGTGGCACCTGTGTGGCCTGCAGAGGGGCACCGCTGCCCTTGCTCCACCTCTGTGCTCCTGGGAGGCAGCGGCATGGGGTGGTGGGTGGCAGCGCTCTGTCCCCATCTGCCTGTGCATACCCCCTAGGGCCTTGCAAAGTACCCCTGGGGGTATGCACACCCCCAGTTGACAACCCCTGTGCCAGGATAAAGGAAAGGCAGGAATGACTTCCTCAATATGTGTGGTGGGAGAAAAGGTTCCTGTGGGTTTAGAGTACAGAACATCGTGATACACCCACTGGTCAGTGAAGGCCCAGCAAAGTATGGGTGTGTTCTTTATAAGGGAGAAACATTATATAGACTAGTCACAAAGTAAAAAAGTTAAATGGACAGAAGAAGGGTGTTCTTGAAAAGACCTTCTTACCTGGTCCCACTAAGACTAGTTGATAAAACTTACTTCAGTGCAGAAGGGCTGATTAAAGGTCCCATGCAACACTTAAGTCCCACATTAAGGGAATGGCATTCACTTTGCTCTGGAGCAAAGTTCAAATATAAAATTGTGCTGCAGTATGGTCATGGACAGGCATTCATTTGCAGCACCACAAGTGCCTGACCACTGTGCAGTGCTACAAAAATAGATAATTACAAGGGATGTACATACATTCATAGCCCCCTGGCTGCAGCACTACAAAGTGTCAAGTAACAGAAGCAATACACAATAGAAAATGAATTAAATGCTAGCCAAAAATCCTATGGGGAAAATAAAAGGCTTCTACTAATTATTTGCAAGTAAAGAGAGGGTTAGTTTAATGGCTGAAATTGAATCTCTCTACCTTTCTGTATTTGTATATAAAAACATACATAAAAGGTGCAAAATAGCTAAGAATACGCCGTTATCTGATTTAAGTGAGCACACAGAAGCTAGTTTAAAAAACAGGCACTATGGGATTATAAGAATTGGACAATGAAGTATCCCAACTGCTGCTGATTTTTTTTTTTAATAACCAAGAATGACTAGAAATAGTGGAAGTTTAAATACATGTAAACATAGTATTAGTCTCCACAGAAATACTTCCTATTTCTGTGCTGTAAATATTCCTTAGACTATGCCAGTTAAGGTAATAGACATATATTAGAAAAGTCATTTTTTCATAGATTCATAGACATTAGGGCTGGAAGGGACCTCGAAAGATTGAGTCCAGCCCCCTGCCCCAGGGGCAGGAAGTCAGCAGGGATCATACGGCAAGATAAACACCCAATTGTCTCTTGAAGGTGTTCAAAGTGGGTGCTTGAACCACCTCCAGCAGCAGTCTATTCCAAATCTTGGGAGCTCAGACAGTAAAGAAGTTCTTCCTTATGTCCAGCCTGAAACGGTCATGGAGGAGTTCGTGACCATTCGAGCTTGTCATCCTTTGGGGCGCTCTGGTGAACAGACATTCCCCTGGATCCTAGCGAGCACCCACGATAAACTTATAGGTAGCCACCAGGTCCCCTGTAAGCCTGCGATTTTCCAGGCTAAAGAGTCCCATGGCTTTCAGCCTCTTATCCATAAGGTCTGTTTTCCTGACCTCTGATCCCATGTGTGGCTCTCCTTTGCACCTCCTCAAGCTTCTCCACATCCTTTTTGAATTGTGGAGCCCAAAACATGATGCAGTACTCCGGCTCACCAAAGCTTAGTGACTTCTGGAGTAATACTATATCTCATGAACAAGAAGTACAACAATTTTATGAAAAACAAAGCTTACCAATTACTTCTTTGCCAGTTACAAAAGAAGTGAATGAAGGTATATCTAGATTTCAAGCAAAGGTCATATCTGACTTGAAATATATATCATGAAAACTTAACTCAAAATCAATCCAGATTGATTTGGCTATCAACTACGTGGTATGAGATTAAGAAGTGTCTAAACAGTCAACGGTAATTAACATTATTTTTTTATACTGAAAGGACATTCCTAGCGGAATTCCTGAAGTTCCTTTTTTCATTAATAAGCCACCACCTCAACTTTCAGGATAAAGAAGAATTTGATACTTCTTTTGTAAGAGTTATAAAGGAAAAAAAAACACCCAAAAGGTTTTCATGTCCATTTAATCTCAAAAGATTTAACTTGAAATATTAACCAAAAGTCAAATACTTAGACCTCATACATTTGGTTTCTCCTGGGAGAGTCACTGCTCTCCTGGGAGAAATCACAAGTCTACAGATGTTTAGGTTTTTTTCTCCCAGAATAAAAATGGCCACTCCAAGTAAAAAATAACCTGGGAACAATAAGGATTAAATCACTTCCAGGAGTGTTTCTACTGGGAGAGCAAATGTCTGTATATGCTGACACCACAGGCTAACTATAGGCACAGTCTGGGTTAGCTGTTAGCCACCTGGGAATGCCCTATACACTGCTACCATCTGTTGCCAGACAAATGAAGGGAGCCTTGCAGAGCCCACTGAGATGTATGCACAGGGCCCCCCTGGTTGCAGTGTCACAGCACTGCAAGCTTCTTCAAGGCCTCAGTAGTTGAATATCTACACACATAGCTCTGAGTTAAGTTTTTCTACCACGAGAACAAACCTGGGAATTTTCCCAGATTATAGGAATATATGTACGCAGCCTTAATAGGGGAAAAGTACCCAGAGTGCTACCTTGCTGAAAGAGACAACTTGATGGGATACACTACAGCAAATTCAGAGTTTGCCATACAAAGCAGCACAAAGCAAGGCAATTAAATTGTGCACATCCTATGAAAAGTAATGAAACTCACTTCACCTCTTGTATAAACAAATCTAGTATTAAATTATTTCTGATCACCCAGTTATTACAAACACAGTGAAACAGGAGAGAGAGGTCAGAGGAAAGCAACAGAACAATTGGGAGCCTTGAAAGACTGATCTGTGGAGGGAAATTTAATAATAGAAATAGCACAACTAGACAAATTAATGTGGTAAACATGTAACCAATCCATCTTCTGCATCCTCAGATATCTTATGGTGGGTAATTACACATCAATCACATTTATTTGACTGATAGTATAATTATTATGTGATGTATATACATCCTTTTTTTTTTTTAAAGGATTAGAGGACAAGGAGAATAGTACCTTATATTTTACATAAAACTTTCCCTTGTACAACTCTTTACCATTTTAATTTTAGAAAGCAGTGTTAAAAATCATCTGCCACTGAAACATTTCAGAAACTTTAATACAGTCCTAATTAATAAGGGAATTATAACAAATTTGTCAACTCTAAAGTGCAAAATATGCAAACTGTAGTTTTGCTAACAAAGGCTGCATATTTACATACTTTCAGAACCGGATGATCAGATTGTCATAATTGAGAAAACTATAATATGCATCATTTCCTTGATAGCTATGTTGTATACTAAATATTAATTTAGTGTTTATACAAAAAATGTCTCTAAAGTCAAGGAAAATGAAAGCAACAGAAAATAACTGAAATACAGATTCACCCACTTTTGTGAATAGGAACAGGCTTGACAAAATCTGTCTGTGCTTGTGTAATAGGTGTGGGTGGCCCTTTGCCTCCAATATGATTGTTCACAACAGGAGTTGTCTGTGGTCGTCCTCTGAGCAAAGGTGACATACACCGACGTCTTTTAGGAATCCCTTGCATATTTGGTTCTCCAGGTCGTTTGTGTTTATTTTGAGGTCCTGATACAAATTCATCTGCTTCATCTATCATCATCCCCTGTAACAAATAACCAGCTGAGTAAGAAGCTTAATCTGTGTCATCTAGTACAAAACGTTTTAAAAGAACACACCACATATTAAAAAATGTTGCTGACTTTTTATAACAGGCATTCAGAATGCAACTAGGTACTATATGGCATATCACCTTGGCTTCTCAAATACTAACTTGAGTCTGGGGAGAGAGTACTGATACACTGAAGGATAAGCAAGAGATTTGACCGGGGTTGTAAGATTTCCAGTAAAACTTGTCTTCCAAATTGGAGTTAGCACATTATAATTTAGTCAGTTATATAGTCAATTAAGCTTCAAAATTCAGCCAACTGCAAGACCTAGATTTATGAGGGACTCCTTTGGTCAATAGAACTTGCTGATGTAAGCAATCTAAAGCAAAATGATTTTTTAAGGGAGAATTTGATAAAAAGGGAGTAGAAAAGGGGTTAGCAATGTTTTTGGGCAGAGTGCCAAAAATACCCACAGCCTCAACTTAAGGTGTTGGTGTGCAGGGGTGGATGGTGGGGGAGCCACAAGGGGCCCGATCCTTGTTGAGACAATGCAGCCCAGCCCCTTCTCCACCATCTGCATGCGTGCCAAGCAAAATGCCTGTGCGCGCCATGCTCTGGTACCCATTCTGCAGATTGCCTGCCTGTAGAGTAGAAATTAGATGTTGACCAAACCACAATGACAAAAATAATTAATGTAAAAAACTTCAGAGGTATGTTTGTCAAAAAAGGGTTGAGAAATACAGTGGTCTTCAAAATACCTAGAAAGGGTTTTCCTATGCCCTGGTGCCTTGGATAATTCAAGTTAGCAACACAAATGTAACACAATAGTTTTAAACAAAAGCATTTGTTTAAACAGCATATTGTAGCAAATCACCTTCTTATCCAATTTAAATGGATTGCCAAACGTATGCAGCCTACGGGGTTGGTCAGGATCAAGCTCTCGAAGGGGAGATGGTATCTGTTTAAGGTACTCCTGATAATTTCCCATTTGTGCTATAGGCACACTGTGAACTTGATCTAGTAAGAGAGAAGACTTTTATCAAAAAGCTGCATCTATGGAAATACTTTATTATAACCCTATCTTACAAGGATTTAATTCTAGCTCCACCGGCACATCCAGTTTTTAGATTATCTCATTTTTTCATCAAGATACATAGAGATAGAAAGAGACAGAAAAAGGCTTAAAAGACAGCCATTCTCCCAGAAAACCTGACTTTTAAAATGCTACATATGTGATATTCATAGGTTATCCGTTGCTAAGGGACTGGAGAAATCAATACATAGAAAGCAACCACCTTCGGGGTATACTTTTAATCCTTGTAAATATGTTCCACAAATCTTTGGACAGGACAACTGAAAGGAGAAGAATGGAGTTCCAGACTGGCTAATGTACAAAAGCAAACCATTATATGGTGTATGCTACATCTAACTTCAATTTTGACAATGCAACATAACCCCCTCCCTACTATCAACAATTTCGAAAGACATTATATTAAATAAAACAGCAATAAATTGGGACTGTTCTTTTCAAATACCGTCCTCAAGAAGCAACATTATTGTTGACTAGCACCAACTAAAGTCAACAAGATACAAGGGTTTCCTTAAAGTTCTGGTGACTCAGGTCCTCAGTACTTTGTTTACAACACAGTGTGCATGGTCCCCCAGTGCCCTGCTCAACTAGAATAAATCCTAGTAACAGATTATGCTAAAATTAATGCCAGTTGTAATGTGGAAACCTACATAGAAACTGCAACTTTTCCTATAGACTTCTGCAGTTGATTTAAGTTAGATTAACATTTTTGATCAAGTGATGGTACTACATATCCTTTTCTCTCATCTTCTAATCATTTTTCTTTGTTTAGCTTAAAGAATCCATTTCATGGTCTTCTACATACCAGGTGCCTTAATACAATGTAGCCCTTTAACCACAACTATATGACAGTTTCACTGTGTTCCATGAACTTCTACTCTTGAGTTCTGCTACCCATAACCTATTGCTGATACTGGTTGTCTGTCTTGATGGAAGTTGCGTCAGATGAGGAAGAGACTGGGCAAGTATTGAGAATGAACTACTAACTCAGAGGGCCATTTCCTTCAGGTCAAGGAGTCAGATAGATTGATGGGACACGGTGGAAGATGTGTTCTGCCTCTGCCTATCAAATAGTACAAAAGGGAAAAATGGGTTTTATTGGATCAAATGTGTAGTTGAAAGAGAACCTTTCAGGCACAGGACGAAGAGTGGTTTGTGCCTGAAAGTTTCTGAAACTTCTTTCCCAACTACATAATTGGTCAAATAAAAGATGTAACAAAAATCCTTTGTCTCTTGTACATTTTCTGGACTATCACAGCTTCAACAACATTGGAACAGTATTTAATAAACAGAGGATTTATGTGGCCTAGGCCATCCATAATGTTCTTTTCCTTTCACATAACCAGAAAACTAGAAAGATGTAGTAAAAGAAATGCAAAAGAATCAAATCCTGAAGAATAGCACTGTCCTAAAGAAAGGAAAAACAAACCAAGAACACATGCAAGACAACAGTGGTCAAGTCTCTTTTCCCTAAGCCATTGATACAATTTGTAATGAAGACTTGATGGAAAAACCTATGGGGTTTCAAGTGTAGTAGTCAACTTCCAGCAAGTTTTTCCTGCTTCTCTCTCTCCATGTTCACCAATCAGCACAGAACAGCAATAGTAGTACAGCAGTACCCCTATAAAATATGCAAACAATGAATCAAGTTGGCTAACCTTCATCTTGTCCTTTGAGAAGTTTGCAAGTAGTCTTGAGAAGATTAGACCTCATTCTTGTTAACTGATCCAAAAGATTGCTTCTGGGTATATCATAAGCATTTCTAAAGCTCTGAGGTCTCAAGTCCTAGTTTCAGCAATAATAATATTTTAATTAATAACAACAGATGAAATAATGTCCAATATTTTAATGGAAGTGTATTGAAAATAACAACATTACACACAATGGTGCTTACCTTATTCAGCAAAGCTATTTGGAACCCAGCATACTCCTTCATATTGAGGTCTAGAGGTCTATGAGGAATTTCCCCAGTAATCCCCTGTAGCAGATGTTGAAAATCGTTCCTATGTGCCATAGACAGGTTGTGTGATCTGCTTCTGACCTTAATTCCAGTCTCTTGCGCTACCTTTTTGCCTACAGAGCCAATGACTCTATCGGACTCTATTTTGGCCTTAATTTGAAATAAATAAATAAATAACATTGACAATATACTCTTAAAAGGATTAGTCAGACTATTAAATTCATTTTTAATTCCTACCTAGAAGATTCGACAATGTACTACTACATTATGAAGAATATATGTGGATGAGTGCTTAAGGAGTGCTTAATGTGCTCATTAAGTGCTTAATGTATTACAACTCTATAATCATTAAAATGTGATAAACAGTTTATATCTAGCTTCTTCAAGTATCTCTAGGGTGCCCCTTATCATTTCATCTAAGCACCAATATGCATGCAATGCTTTTATTTTCATAAAAATGTCATGATTGGGATTATGAAAAATTTTGACATAAATCTGCATGTACCCATGGATTTTACTGTTAGCTGGGGAAATAGCTGAAATCTCATGATTCTCCTACATAATTATAATTGTGGATTCAAATGATGGTATTGATCTTAAAAAAACAAACAAACAAAAGCCCCAAACACCTCAATACAAAGTAGAAAAAAACCCCAAGATTAAAAAAGGAAGAGAATATTCAGTTATATCTAAACAGAGAAAATATGTGGTAACCTTTTTGTTTTTATTCATGGTTTTACCCGTTTGATTTGTCTCAAATTCAAATGCGCTTTAAGATGTGTTAGAAGTTTGGCAGAATGTAATTAATCAATAAGCCAAAAACAGTGTTTGTTTAGTGAATGCACTTAAGTTTCTAGTATATTGGAGGTTCAAATGTTATTTCCCCATTTCAAGTATATGGAAGTTTTAAAACCACAATAATCTTTCAAACATTAGGAAGTTTTTTTTTTTTTTTTAAATATATAAACTCTATATCTCATTGTACCCATGATGTATTACAGAATGTCATGCATTTAAGTATTTTGCACCAAAAATGTATATATTTAGAGATGCATACATTTTGCAGATTTATTAGTATAACAACCACACAATTTGGCAAGATTATCATAGAATCTTAGAAAATGGGGGTTGAAAGGGACCTCAGGAGGTCATCTTGTCCAGCCCCCTACTCAAAGCAGGACCATCCCCAAGGCTTTGTCTAGCCAGGTCTTAAAAACCTCCAAGGATGGCTAAATGCAAGATTCACATATTTCCTGATACTATTGCCAGGAGTTAAAAAAAAAAAAAAAAGATAAATACTGAAAGCTTTAAGCTGAACTTTACAAAATGTTTACGTGCAGCATTAAGAATACTTGCATCCCTACATCCTTCAGGTACAAGCCTATTTATTTTCACGACGATCTCAAATATGAAAGTTCAAGATATACAACAAAGCAAAACGGCATTCATTAAAGTGCCAGAGTTACTGCACATTAAATTTAGTACTTGTACAATCGAGTACTAAATCAATGCGCAGTAACCAGCATTACTGCACAGTAGTGCTGGCACATGACTTTTTAGTGATGCTACTGCACAGTAGCCTAATAATACTGCACAGTAGCATATCAGCACTGTTTTTGCTGTGAAGTGGTATGCACGGTATTATTAGACTACTGAGCAGTTCAAGTCCCGTGTAGACGTACCCAGAAAGTCAAAATGGGGAAGAAAGGTTTTTACCTGCTAGAACAGAAGGCTAGTTAGAGGGGGTCTCAATTTTCATAGGCTTGCTATAGAACATTCAGTAGGCTACTTGTCCTGTCTATGCCTTGGTTTCTTATTTGTAAGTGTCATTCATTGCAAATTCTAAATGTTTATCATGAATTATATCTACATAAATGCTTTTACAAACTAAGCAGAGAAGGTAAGTGGTCATTTTGGTGCAACTACCCAAGAGCATAAATCCCTAATATTATGAATGGTGCCATATAATTTGCCAACCTAGCAGAGACCATCGCATTTTTAGCCACAAATATACTGAGGCTTGCACTTATGAAAAACTGGCATGGCATACACCTTGAGGAATCCAATAAGACACACCTGTACATACATTTATGGTGAAGTCTATAAACAATATTTTAAAGCTAGGTGTCAAGCTTATCTCCAATTCAGAAAACAAATGTTCTAATAGTAATCACATGTAAGAATTCAGGTAAACTTGAGGGCTTCTTTGTCCCTTTATCCTTGCATGGCTCTGTGATGCTTTAAAGGTTAGGCTGACATCAGCTTCACTGTTTTTAAAGATTCATTTTTGTTGCTATTGCATCTATATTACCTGTTGACTCAACTTTTTGAGGTATGAAATGACACTGTAGCTAAGTCCATATTCCACATTATCTGCTATAAGATTTGGTGCTCCCATCATTCGCACAGCTTTCTTCAAAGGCTGAAAAACAGGGTACACATGTATACGTATATTATTAATTTTACAGTTCGTGTTTAAAATAAAGTTATAGCTAAATGCTTTCAAAGTGAATTTGAAACTCTAAGTGAAAAAAAGACATTCTTTCCATTTATATATTCTTCCACCTGTGCCAAATTCTTAAAATATTAGTGAAGATTCATTTCAAGCAATGATTATACCTGACCTAGGTCTCATAAAATTAAGATTTTAAATTATCCCTACAACCTTAATGTACATCCTGAAAGTTGTACTAAATCATAGTATCACATTAGAAGGGTATACAAACTTCAGAGGAATTCATATTTAACTTTTTATTTCCACAATCATAGTATCCTTAGTTTAAAATAAAATCCAAAAGAAGATATTTAATAAAGAAAATAAAAGTAATGAGGGAGAGGAGACATGTTAATGTACATAATTAAGTTATCTTACCCCAAGATAGTAAGGAGGCATTGTCTTTAAATAGCTTTCAAATGACTGCCGCCATTTTAAAGTTGGTTTTGCCTTATGTACTTTGAACAAGTCATCTAAATATAAAGTGATATTAATAAGTAAACAAAAGATGCATTTCATATAACTCCACATTTTATCTGAACAATATTTTTCCTAAAGGCCCCCCTACTGCCTAAGGTTTAAAAAAAATTAATGGATTAATGTTGCAAAGTAAGAGATTAAGGTGGAATCCTGTAATTTATACTTTACAAAAGGTAACTGGTGATCAGAGTCACTGGAGTGAGGGGGAAAGTATTACTACATTAGCAAAAAGGAAAGTGCATGAGTGCAATCATACTGAAGACCAAGAATAATGTCCATGAATGGTAAACAAAATTATATATATTTTTATTAGCAAAAATCATATTCAAGAAGGTCAGCTGATTTGGTAAGTGAATTGTGAATATGTTGGATATCAGAAAAGCTGAATGGTACCATCTTCTTTTCAGTATAAAAATAATTTCTGAATAGTTAAGTTTATGATTACTAATGATGATGTTAGCATCATAATATTCTATACTTATGCTGGATCAAATTCACCTGCCTACCACCTCAAAAAGATTTTAGAAAGTTGTGTTTACCTAAGAGAGGAAGGAGGACTGGATAATTGTAAGGCATCACAAACAGGTTCACACAATTCAGTGCTGTACTGGCTTTCAAGTAGCCAAAAGGATGACCAAGTTCACTGTATTTTGCACTATTGCTCACATATACCTGCAAAACAAATGAAAAAAATGTTCAGATAATTCATGTTGTATACAAGTATAAATAGTATAAACAGTTAAGGTTTTATGTAAATAAATTAACATATAAATTAGAATTTCACTCCAAATTATTTAAGGAATGTTACTTCTCAGATAAGGGTTCTTCATTTACAAAGTTAGTATACAATCAAACTTGCCTGCCAGCAGGTATGTGGAGATTTCCTTTCCAGGATAAACTGAGTCAATGGAGAAGGTTCTAACTCATATTTATCAAAGGGTAGTTTGTCAATGACCATTGGTTCACAGTCAGTGCAGGAGAATTTCACTACAGGATGAGATGTACGAGGTGGCTAGACAGAAATAGACAATGTTAACTGTGGCTCTATATCAGTAAACACTAAATATCATTTTTAAACAATAAGCTTTTTAGCATTTTACCGTAGGATCTGTTAACATGCTTTTGAAATAAAGAAATACCATTTTACCTGTCATCTCTTGGATTTTGGTCCAGATGCTAATGCCGCAATTGCTCTCCTGCTGCTACCACCATAGGGTTCAGGTTCCTCCCTCTTCTCCTGCCTGCCCTGGCCCCTAGGGCCAGGGTGGCCCACAGGGCTGTGGGAGCCTGCAGGTGGGGATTTCAGAGGGAACTGGGTACTACAGTACAGCATAGCAGGGGTTGTCTGCTGTGCAGTGAAGAGAGGCCTACCTGACTCAGATCAATGCAGTGGATGGCATAGACAGGGAGGACATGAAGGGGAGGCCATGCAGCATGGTGCGCAGCCCCTGGCCACTCAGAAGTTGGCCAGCCCTATTCTAAGGTAAAGGTCAGAAGTCCTTTTATGAAGCATGTCATTTTACATGCCTCAAACTGGATACACAGCATTCTCAAGTTTCTATTAATATCTTCTGTTTAGCAAAACAATTCCCTTCTATCAAACCTAAAACATTACCAAACCAAATCAGACCAAAAAAATCCCACGAAGGTGAGCATGAATATAGATAAAAAGCTAGCTTTACAAGTTACCAAACTAGACCTGAGATTGACTTTTTGCATAATTTCAAGTGAAAGAATCTTTTACCATTTCAGGCAACCTATACCCTGCTTTCAACTAAAACATGGAAAAGTACACAAGGTATTTATGCCTGATATTGCTGGCAGAATTCTGGAAAGGGGAGAGAAATCTGAGGTTCTTTTCACAGTAAAGTGTGGAGCAGAGTTCCTCCTAAAGCAGTGGCTCCCAACCGCTTTTTGCTGCAACCCTGAAGCCGGGTTGCAACCCCCACCCCGAACTCACTCATGCCCGGCAGCACCAGTGGAGCCCAGGCCAGGCCGGGATTGTGGGGGGCAGCGGCAGCGAGAGCTGCACGGACCATGCGCCGGGAGGGGCGGAGCAAGAGGCAGACCCCCTGCAACCCTAATTTGGATTACACCCCAAGGTTGGGAGCCACTGTCCTAAAGAATAGTCTAGAAGAGAGGTACTAAACTCATTCTTTTAGCCTTGATGTCCAAGACCCCTGCAATTTGGGGAGGAATCAAAATGAGTGCCCTCCCTCCATTTTGTTTCTTCAGAAGAGATGCATTACTAAAAGAGGAAGAGTTGAGCTGAAAAAGGAGGGTATCTTGACCTTCTTTCCCCACAGTAAAACATATCTTTCCAAATCTTTAATCACTAGTGCTTTCCTTACTGGATGAATCACCCATATGGTATCTATCCAAGGAGACAGTTTTACCTTAATTAGCATCTTTACACTGAGGAAGGTGCAATGCCAAAGTGACAAACAAGATGGAAGGTCAAATTATAATGCTCTTAAAAGATGCTGCTTCCAACAAAGACACTACGATGACAGAGTTTTTGACCAAGGTATGAAGCAGTTATACTGGGAGTAAAAGGGCTGCCAGAAAACAGCAAGTGCTGAGACTTGAGAAACTTGGTAACTATCTGTACCTCACAACAACACGAGTTGCCACTGTTGCAGACTTCCACAAATGCTTGCAACAGTTTAAATATTATTTCCACCTTAAACTATGCGGGGTTCTCTTCATACAATGGCTATTAGGAAGCCCCACTATAAAAATGATTGGTTGACTGAGGGAAGAGATACAGAGTAGTTAAGCAAAAAATTGAAAGTTAGGCAAAAAAATTAAAGAGAACTGGATTAAATGTGTTGCTCTCAAAACCATGAAGAAATACAAGGATTTAGATCTTCATGGATTACTCATGAATACAAGCATTTAGATACTCACTCAACATTATATTTCCAATTTCGATTTAGACTTCAATTGGAATTATAGGGTGAACAGAACCAACAGGAATTGTCTGAACATCTCAAATATAGGCATGCCTTTAGCAGCCTATAACCCCAAACTCTTATAACCCAAAGCTCTATACAAGATCAAAATGTAATTACAATGAAATACCAAATATTTTTCATGACTTCTATTGATTAAGAAACTTAAAGAAAAACTATTTGAAACCTACAGCTCTTAACCTGGTAAAGATCAGGACAGGTGGATCTATCTATGATTCTGGTTATAAAGAACAGGGAAGAATAGATATTTTGGAGGAGTTGTCTTCCTATTGTACAGCTCTATAATATCTTGGACAAATAGTTTTTGGATTGGGTTTTTGTGGGTTTTTTAAATAGGTTTAGGAGATGGACCTCTTTTTAGGACCTGCTATACAGCTCAGAAGACTATGCATGTTTTTCTTACTGGATAGAACCTCTGGGAAACAATGACTCAATAAAAAGAAACCAAAAGCTAAAGACTAAAATGATGTCATGCATCTTAACCTTCAATTAATATCCTTTATTCAGGTGATGCACTTTGCAAATTCTGCAATCCAAATACATAGAATATTTTCCATAAATTATAATATAGTGTCAAGCCATCAAGTCAAAACTAAAACTGAAGATTTTCTGAAAAAGCATGGATTCACAACCCCACCAGTTCCATTTTAATGATTCTCAAATAGTCAAAGTTACAAGCGTTATTTGTCACTAAAAGTGTATGAATTCCTACTACAAGGTAGGAATATTTGAAAAAAACAAAGCTTTCAAAGAAGCTTTATAATACAACAGAGGGCGCTCTTAAAATACCTCCTGAAATAAGCACATATGCAATGTAATTTGAGATTAAGTTGTTTATGTGTTGTAATAGATGATTATGCTGAACATAATGCAAAATAGTACATTCTTATATTAGTAATTAAGTAATTAGAGAACAACAAACTAATCCTATTGCTAATTAAGACTTTATTTTTTTCTTTTTTAGCAGAAGAGATGATTAGGGAGTAGTCTGCCACCTAATGCACTGAAAGCTGGTAGTTCTACCATTAGCTTCACCTTTTCCCAATTTTGAAAATATTTTCAGTGAGGCTTTTCCACCAGAACACTTTCTTCTGGCTAGTAAAATGTGGTAGAAATTAGGGCTGTGCAAAACACCTGCATTTTGTTTTGGTTTTGGATTTGGCATTTCATAGGGCTGTCCGAAATGGCTGTCTTTCGTTTCATTTTGGATTCGGTGTTTCGGAGGGACAGTGATTTGTTTCAGTGTTTCAAATCACTGACCTGTTTTGTTTCGGCCAAAACTATTTCAAAGCTGTTTCAGAATTTCAATGGTGTTTCAGCCATAGCCAGTTGATTCCGCATTATAGCCTATAACTTTGTCCTTTCTTGCCTAAATCGGATGATGCTAGCAGGGCTGCTAGCCCCTGCTGAGGGCAGGGAGCCTGCCAAGTTTCAAGGGGATAGGTGCAGGATTTTTTGTGAAACTGCACCTCAAACTGCTCAAAGCAAAACTAGTATTACTTGCCAGCAGTGGCAGCATGCTGTCATCCCGCACACAGATCTGGGGGCCTGCTCCCCCTGGGAGGAGTGCAGCACAGCCCTGCAGCCCTCCCAGGGGGCATGGGCCCCCAGATCTGCGTATCTGGGTATAAAGAACCCAGTGCTGCTAGCTGGGGCCAGCGCCAGCACTGGGTTCTTCCTGGAGCTGGGCGTAGGCTGCACCGGGCAGACTTGGGTGCTGGTGCCGTCATCCGCATGCTCCACAGCTGGTGAGTGTGGAGTTTAAAAAAATAAAAGCCCCAAACTCATCGGCTCTGGCAGTGGTAATTGGGGCCTCTGAGAGCTTGTGGCAGAGTCCCCCCGCCCCATACAGCGCGGGGCAGCAGGGACCCCCACCTGCACCAAAGCACAGGTGCAGCACAGCTCAGCAGGGCACCATGCACTGCCTGAGAGTAGGGCAGCTCCTGGTTCAATCCCCAGCTGTATGATCATTCCCCCAGCTCTTCCCGGGGGTGTGGGCCCCTGCATCTGCACAAGGTTTCAGCAGGCTGCTGCTACCAGCTAGGTAAATAGCCCAGAGCTGCTGCGATCCCCAGTTGGCAGTGGCAGCCTACTGTCATCCCGCATCATCTGGGGGCCCTAGTCCCCTGGAAAGAACTGGGGAAAGCGATCAGAGAGCTAGAGAAATATCGGAGAGCTGGGGAATCAAACCAGGAACTGTGGGAATGTTCGGGGACCTGAACATTCCCCCAGCCCCCAGCTCAATTCCCCAGCACTGGGGCTGGAAAGGACCTCAGGGACAGATCACTGTCACTGGCCAGCTACAGATGTGAATATCAGAGCAGTCCTTCCCCCTCCTTCTTTCCCTTCAAGCCCGCCTCTGGAACAGCTCCAAAATGTTTTGGAAAATTTCCAAAACATTTTGGATGGCCCGTTTCATTTTGGAGCTGTTTCGGAACCCTGCGTTTCGTTTTGGATTTGGTGTTTTGACTGCCAAAGCGTCTGAATCCGAAACGAAACAGTTGCTGAAATTCACACAGCCGTAGTAGAAATGACTCTGAATTACTTTTGGCATTTTTGTTTACGTTGCAGTCCTCAGTCTGAATTCTAATCAAACTCCTGCTATATTGTTTTTCTTTATTCATGACTGCTCAGATGTCAGTAAGAGCTCTATTATAGGAAGTTTCTTGCTTAAAGAAGCAGATACCTCTTATGCCACCAGCTTCCAACCTGTGATCTATGGACCCCTGGTGGTGTGCAGACTATGTCTTAAGGGGTGTGTAAAAGATGACTATGATCAATCAGAAATTACATGAATAACCCTCACTTACAATTCAAAGACTCCACACCTCCATTCAAAATTTTTAGGGGTCCACAAATGAAAAAAGGTTGAAAACTACTGTCTCATGCAAATACCGTATTTTCGCACATATATCCCGTGGGGTATACGCGATTTTACAAAAACAATGGATGGGTGTGGGCTATACAGGGGTGCGGGCTATCTACGGACTTTTTTTCCCCGCAGGGGCCGGGGTGAGCCGTGCCGCCTCCCTGCTGGGCCCGGGCAGGCCGGGCTACGCCGCCTCCCCGTGTATACACCGCCACAGGGAATACACGGGTGTGGCGTATACATGGACTAATATATAAAAATACAATTTCCCGTGCGTTATACGTGGGTGCGGCTCATACCCGTGGGCAGGCTATATGCACGAAAATACGGTACTCCATATGAACAGTATAGGATATGTTAATTGCTACTCACTCTTATTCCTAGCAGTTAGACCTGTGCTGTATTTCTTTTCTGAATTCACCCTTTGTCAAGCCGCTTTCACAATACTTTAGTGAAATATTCCGAGATTTTAAACAAATTAATGGGAAGCAGTTAAGATAGATTTCCCTTGCTTCTACTTCTCTTCAAATACTTACCAGTGTTGGTGAATTTTGATCTGGCCAAAAGGATTCTGGAACAGGCCAGTGACCTATGGGAACCCCAGTTTTAGGGTTTGGTCTGACATAGATAAGCTTGTGACAGCTGTGCCAAGGTTGGGATCCAAAGGGCCTAGATATATCCGTCTGTCCATCTACATAAAAATAATATATATTAATAGCTATATATAATTAAATAAGTTTGAAATATTATTTAAATGCTGTTTTTATGAAACGTGTACAGACTTTTTATACTTCAAGGAAGTTATCCTTAGAATAAGATTAAAAGCCACAAGAAAAATAGATGCCAGTTTCAATTTGTATGTTACATTTCCTGCAAGAATGCTAACTGACATTGGAGCAACACTGCTAAATCTTTACTGAATGAAGGTCTGAAAAAGGTGATTATTGCCTGATGCTTCTTCAGAACTCAGTTGGGGTTTTATTTCCTTCCTCATCACAACTTTTGCTAGATGCATCTTAAATCTTCACACATCAGGAAAATATTTAATATACATAATTCTAGTACAGAATAACTCCAATGAACCCTTAACATACAATTTCAGGGTTCAGGGAAAAGATAGCATTTTGCAAGAATACATTTTTAAAGATGAGAAAAATAATTAATATTTATAACAGGAGGGCACAGGGCTACAGGAAATGTAGGCCTGATATACTACTTGAAACCCTTGAAATGTGCTATATTATAAACTAGGCAATATTCATTATGCCTAAAATAATAGTACTGTTCCAAATCAAACTATCCTAATTTCTGGAGATTATTACATTTGAATTCATCAAATTATATCAGTAAGGTATCTAAAATTTTTCAAATACCATCAATTGGTGAAGGATCTGGTCCAGCTTTTTCAAAGTTTATTACAACTCCACTTTGCACTTTTTGCACCAAGGACTCAAGACACTGATTCAGCATTCTCGGAGAGCATACACAATATGAGCGACCTAGGATGAAAGGAGGAGTCACAAGAGCAAGTCAGCTACATAGTGTTCCTACCTTCACCTTATTTTTTCAGTCTAAGCCATATAATGTGACATCCCATTAGCTTTTTCTGCTGCTATATTTCATGTTTAAATATCTACCATCCATTCCCAAAATGCACTGTTTTAGAACATAGACTAGTATACTGTATGTTTACTGATTTCTCAAAATTGGACAGCAGTACAAACATGAATCTGTGTTTATAAAGTGGCAGCCATTAAGATAACACTATTTACCAACAACTACTATATTGTGGCTTTTGAGATACTGCAGCTATGTACTATTCTGTAGCATATGGAAAAAGTGAAGTACCTCAGATACCATATCAGTAGGTTATTCATTGGTAAATGATCTTATTCTCTCTTCTTTCTCATCACATTTTCTTTCCTCCTAGGCTCCAGGCAAGCAGAATCCTAACAAAAGTTTCAATGGCTTCTATGGGACCCTTTTTATAGGATTTTACATTTTCTGTATTATCTTTAAATAAATACAAGTCAAAATATTATATTTAAATATACTTTTATATGGAATCCTTTCCATGGGCTTTCTACAACAAGGTCATTTTAATAGAACATAAAATCACAGAAGCTGAACTGTA